CTAGGGCGTCTCGTTAAAGATGGAAGGAAAATAATTTGAAAAAAAAAAATGCAAGTGACATTTTTTAGTGTGGAACGTTGCGGGCCGTTTGCTTTTTATATGAAAAATTGCAACAGGTGTTTTAATATGAATTCATTTGCCTAGAATTTAGGCGGAAATAGATTGTCAATTTGAGCGCTTGGAATGCGTAATTGCCGAGAGGATTGTCGGGATGGCAGCCTCCCGCCCAGACAGCATTTCTTGTCATTTCAATCAAAAGACATCTGTACAATCGTGGTTGTTATATTTAGTTGATGTAAATTATCAGGAAATGATTATTACATTTGTAACTAAAAATAAAATAAAAGAGAAACTCAATGAAAATAGCTTATTAATTCAGTTCTTGGGACTATTAATTTGAAAAACATTTCAGTAATTTAAACAATTTGAGGGCATTTAAAATAGTGTCAGGCTTATATTTAAGATGGCCGAGTCTCACATCAAACTTTTTATTTATTCATTCTCTTCTTTTATAACCCATGTCGCTTTGGTTTGGTTTGGTTTATTTTACGGCATTTCAACCTCAGTGAGTTATTTAATGCCAAGATTTTTATTGCTGGTAATATTTATTTTCTTCAAAAATGTATTGCGGGTAATAATTATTTACAAAAATGTATTGCTGATCGTATTTTCCCTCAAAAATGTATTGCTGGCTATATTTTTTCCTTCAATAATGTATTACTGGTAATATTTTTTCCTCAAAAATGTATTGCTGGTAATATTTATTTTCTTCTAAAATGTATTGCTGGTAATAATTTTTCCTCAAAAATTTATTCCTGGTATTAAAAATATTTTTATACTTTCATAATGTTTTGACCCGAGTTTGGGGGGTCTAACTATTTGCCCATAGCTGAACCCCCCCCCCTAACAGGTGCTACCATCACGGATCAGTTAAGAGGTGGTTCCACGCTCCTCAAAACCTCTTGATTAAAAACCTTGCTGTTGGGCGTAGTTTATCGTCTTACCCAGGACGCGGATGTAGTTTATCGTCTTACCCAGGACGCATGTCGCTTTAAACTTCCTGCATCTTTCTATTGTTTGCAACGCTAAAAAAAAAAAAAACACATTTTTTATCCCTCTGTTGTCTCTTCCGGTCGTTGTTCTGTCATTCATTTTCACAATCTCGTTAGGTAGGTTGATTGATGATTCCTTTTGTCCCTCTTGGCTTCCATATGCACTATGAGTATCAAATTCTACTAGCCTTCTTTCTTCATTATACGCCATAGAAATTTAAAGTGACTCTGATTCTAAATATCTTCTTTTACTTCAGGACGTTTGAGATCATGGCTCTCCACAATTTCCTTTCCTTTGAAGTTCTTAATAAATTTTGCCTTTTGGTCATCTTTCTGTCATCTATTCACTCAAGCTCGCCAGGTAGGTTATGCGTTCATTTCCTCTGACCTTTCATCTGTCCTGTGGGTATCAAATTTTCCAATCCTTCTTTCCTCACTATATGCCCTACATATTTCAATTGTCTCTTCCCGGTGTTAAATATAAGTGTCCATTGTCTGTAGAACTTCTTCGTTGCTCATATGTTTGGTTTATGGTATTCTCAGCATCCTTCTGTAGAACCACATTTCTGTTGCTTCAAGTCTCTTCATCATCTGTAAGGAGATTGTCCAGGAATTACTGCAATATAGGAGCACTGACAATGCATAACCGTTCGGTACTCATTTCTTTGATTTAACGAAAATTTTTCTGTTTCTTCATAATTTGCTTAGTTTTTGGAAGGCATCTTTCACTATCCCAATGCGGCTTCGGATTTCAGTGTCTCACATTTCGCCCTCTGTTAAAACACTTCCCAAATATTGAAATTGTTGTACTTGTTTGATTTCGGTATCTTCAAATTCATAAGTTGCATGTTAACCTGTTCCTTTTACTAACAACCACGTATTCAGTTTTATTGCAATTCGTGTTTAATCCTTTCTTCTCGCTTTCATTATTAAGCGTCCTATTTATTTCCATTTTCCTTAAAACTTCCGTTTGCTCTCATGTTCCGTCCGGGATATTCTCAACATTTTTTGGCCTAAGGTCTCTTCTTTATCTATGAAGAAATTATCAAGTATTTACTACTATCATGTAACAGCTTAGTACGAGAAAAGAGAATGCGAACACAATGTATGTTTGTCAGCAAAAGAGACACAGCCCAAGGTGTGAGTTACATATTGGAGACGTCAAAAGCAGAAATTTAACTGTTTAATGTGAATCTCTCTCTCTCTCTCTCTCTCTCTCTCTCTCTCTCTCTCTCTCTCTCTCTCTCTCTCGTTTATTTATCATCTCTCAGTTGCGTCTATGTCTTTGGGCAGAGTGCACTCAGAGGCGACTCTGTCAAAAAACAGATTCGCAACTGAGGAAAATTATACTGAGAGGTGCCCAGCCATAGGGAATAGCTGCCCTCTCATTGCACCAAAGAGAAGGATCGGTGCTCACACCGAGGCCAGCGCAACCGACGGTTGCGGGGGGCTTCGGGCAATTCTTGTCCCTAGCCCGGGTGTACACGCTCGGGTACCCCACCTTAAAAACTGACCTTGTGTCACAACTCGTCTTGGTGGGGAGACAGAGTAAATACCTAGTGTGAATGTAGTAATAGACAACGGAAAGATGCCAAACAAAAATTCTTAGACACATGGGAATAGAAAATGATGCTTTCCAGAAACTAATCAAAGTATTAAGGTATAGGAAAATGTCGTTGGGAACAAAGTAAAGAGTCTTGCACCTCTGTGTAATATCTGATCTACTATATATCAACGAATACTGGAAATTCTACTCATAGATGAAGAAAACACTTGAAGCGATGGAGAGGTGGTTCTACCTATGAATGCTGAAAATACCATACTAACTGCTATGGCTCTTATCTGTACTGTTGGTGATTGTCTTTGTTTAAAGTCCTCTGGTATAATCATGATTATCTCATTATTTTTCTTTCGTGATGCATGTTCTATCCATTTTAATGGCTGCTATTGTCCTCAAGTGATGTGGTTTCCTGTTATTTGGTACAGTTGTTAGCTTGTGATTCTGTAGCGCCGGTCCACATCTGTTAGAAATAAGTCTTTTAAAAATAAATACTGAACCTTTCCTATGCAAAATAATTGTTTATTTCCGACTCCTTGGTTATATGGCTTCGGGAATATTGAACATCTGATATTTTCACGAGGACATGAGGCCCGACGATTTGGACATTTGTTGATGATATATCCACACCATATATATATATATATATATATATATATATATATATATAGAGAGAGAGAGAGAGAGGGGGGGGGTCGAAATGTAATTGTCATCTTTAATAATGGCTTATGTAAGTCGAAAGCTTAGATTGGATTTAAACATGTATCAATATGGTGATTTCCTTTCATCTTTCAATGATAATGTTATTAAGCTTATCAGACAATATGAAAAGAACTTACTTAAAATAAATAGACAAAACTTGTTTATATTATTTAATGAAACATGCATTAATGAAAAATTGCTGCCTAAATATGAACAAAATATATATATAGAGAGAGAAAATTATCTATGAACTCTTATTGCTCTTACGATTGTGGTTCATGGCGACATTCAAAGCAGAATAGCACAATGGCTTGCCGGTCCCTTTTTCAACCAATCCCTCTTCACAGAAGTTAAAGTTGTAGCAGTTTTCCTTCTCCTATAGGGGTTAGTCTGTCCTACTATTTACCCATAGCAGAGGGATTCATACTTTTTCCACGTAAGTGAATGCAATGAACTCCACTGGAATTTGAACTCAGCTCTCCGATTTCTCAACCCGAGCCGCTATCCATACCTTCAACAATTTTCATTAGTTTTCCTGCTGCAGTGTCAATTTACTTCAACTTGCGGTCCCAAAATAACAAGTGATTCTGACATTGGGCCCACCTACAAAGATTTTTTTATGAGCGCTGTAAGCAAAAGGCAGGGTATAGGGCGAATATTTTCGCCAGCTATTTTCTTCATTACAACCTGGAATATTTACCAATTAACTGAATCAGGTAAATTAAGTCAAACTTCTCAGTTGGGCGGGCTTGATCGCTTAGGTGCCAGCGGCTCTTTGACAGTTGAAGACGATCGCATTTATGCATTATATTTGTACCTAGGAACATTAACACAGTTGTCCACATTCTTTGCTTGGCACATTTATAAACAAAGGCAGGTTTAAACTACTGTCTTATTAAGTGTCACTAACTTCTGGACTTCGTTTTGTTAACAGCTTCGCATTCACTGAGCAACATACGGATTATTTTTCATTGCCAGCGATTCGTCAAAAAAATGTTTTTCGACATTTCTCGAAGTTGGATTATGTAATCTACGATTTATTCATTCGTTCTTTACCGACCTAGCTAAACAAACGCGCCATCTTTGTTCAATTCTTTTTTCTCGATTTAAAAAAAAAAACACAAAAAAGGCAAACTAAATAATGACATTGAACAATTTTGCACAGGAAATTTTCAAATTGCTACCATTTATGAAAATTTACTGAACCTTTAAGGACAAAACGTATATTTCTATACGTGTGAAAAATCTATCTGTTTGTCTATCTATCTATCTATCTGTCTATCAAGCTATCTGTCTACCTATCTATCTATTTATCTGTCTGTATACAGTGAATAGAAAGATGTCTTGGATGTCTTTTAATAGAGACTGGGTAAGTAATTTATTTTCTTGATGTTACAATTATACACAAAAAATAATGACGTACCGTTTTTCAGTTTTCTATCGTTTATCAACAAATTGCAAGTTATTTAAGGATATTTTATATTGTAAGAATTTTTTTAAGATAATAATGATTTAGTGACACAAGTCTTACTAATTAACCCATAGCTAGTGGGAGGATATATGGATTCATAACTTTCTCAAGGCTATTTGCGCGTAAGTGAATATAACAAAACCAACGGGAATTGGAACTCCGCTCACCGATTATCAATTCAGAGTCATTATCTATTACACCACTTGCACATGCAAACTTACAGCACATGGTATTCCCAAGCGGTCACCCATCTAGGTACTGACCAGGTTCGACGTTGCTTAACTTCGGTGATCGTACGGGACCTGGTGCTTCAATGTGATATGATCTTATGCTAATGATATATCTAACCCTTACAGAAATTAAGTGTTTTCTTCTTCTTTGTGTTGTATCTTTTCAAAACGTATGTGATCATGTCTCTCGACAGTTTCCTATCATTTCATTTGTCTTTTTTATTCTGTATTCCACTTCTTGTTCCACCATCCATTTACACAAGCTTAGGTACGTTACTCGCTATTCCCTTTTGTCTTTAATATGACTTGTGAGTATCAGATTCTCCAACTAGCTTTCCTTATGCAGCCCAAAATTTCAACTATCTAAGGATAGAAGTCGTCTTCGTTCCTATTTCCTCAAAATTTATTCGTTGCCCACATGGTATTCTCAGAATTCGTCCGTACAACCACATTGCTGGTATTCACTGCCGTTATAGAATGATTAATATTATGTAATACAGTGTAACCCGGATATAAGAGACCCGGATATAAGAGAGATTTTCTCTGGTTCCAAATTAGAGCCCATACTTATTTAAATAAAATAGACCAAACCCGGATATAAGAGAAACCCGGATATAAGAGACTTCTTCTCCGGTCCCGACAACTCTCTTATATCCGGGTTACACTGTAGTTCAGTATTTTTCCTTTATTTCTAATGAAAATTCCCTACTAGAGTTAGAGTGCTAATTTAAAAATAAATATGTATATGCGTGAATATATTTCTGTAAAACTATACGTACTCCTCATCTATCACTCTCTATATATCTCTTCCTTTCTTTCTCTCTCTGTCGCTCTCTCACTAAATATATATATATATATATATATATATATATATATATATAAAAGGCTCAAACACTACTATTCCATGATTATAATTTATTACATTAGAATCGTAATAACGATCCAATTCATCAGATTCAAAAGGTTTGATGAATTACGATTCCAATGTAATAAATTATAACCAGGGAATATTAGTGTTTAAGCCTTTTTAGTATATCCTTACTCTGTCCCGGACATTAAGTTCTACCTGGATTCTATCCTCTTGGGAATTTTTTTTATATATATATATATATATATATATATATATATATATATATATATATATATCCTGCAGGTTTTGAATTTAGAGTTGTCCTTTCCTATACCACTTCTCACCACTTCTCATCCAAGGCTATAGAACCCAGTCTGTCCTGCTATTTACCTATAGCGGGGATGGGGAAGAAGAAGAAGAGGATCCATACATTTCCCAGGGGTATTAGCACTTAAATGAATGGAATGGAATTCGAACTCGGCTCTCCGATTCCTCAATCCTAGACGCTATCCATTACTCCACCGTGCCTCCTCGTTTGCGTACTTTGTGGCACGTAGTGCACCAAGTCTCTGTATTCGACTCTTTAAAAAGTGTCGTTGGTTCTGCACAAAGCCTTTACAGCTATAATCAAAATAAAAGGGCAGTTTGGTTGTCGGTTACTATAAACTGAGGTGCTTAGGCCTCGTACGTCGGGAGAGTCCAACACCAAACACACACACACACATATATATATATATATATATATATATATATATATATATATATATATTTATTTAATATATCATTTATATATATATATATATATATATATATATATATATATATATATATATATATATATATATGTATATATATATATATATATATATATATGTATATATATATATATGTATATATATATGTATATATATATATATATATATATATATATATATATATATATATGTATATATATATATATATATATATATATATATATATATATATATATATATATATATATATATATATATATATATATATATATATATATATATATATATATATATGGAAAAGGCCCATATATATATATATATATATATATATATATATATATATATATATATATATGGTGGACTCTCCTGTCGTATTCGAAGCATGAAGGCCAACCAGTTCAGTTCCTATGAACTGGCAGCAGACACCAGCGCGTATGATTTGATTATAATAGTGAAGGCAGAACCACCCACACTTTTTGAACGGACGAATACAGAGCCCTGGTACACTACGTGCCACAAGGTCCCCAAACAACCCTCCGCAGGTTCTGAATTCAGAGATGTCCTTCTCGTAGAGTAGTTTTCATCCAAGGCTATAGAATGATTAATACATTTCCCAAGAGTATTAGCACGTAATGAATATAATGGATTCGACTGGAATTCGAACTCAACTCTCCGATTCCTCAATATATATATATATATATATATATATATATATATATATATATATATATGAAGGGAAGACGTTATAGCAGTTCCAACGAGAGAAAAGTGTGTATATTAAGAAGAAGACCGAAACCGCAAACGTCTTTGGTTGTAATGTGGATTTTTTTCATGGAAAATAAAGCATAATATCTTTTTTTTAATTCACATTTTCTTTCATTTTCTGATATATATATATATATATATATATATATATATATATGGAGACGAGTGACAAGGCATTACGTTTAAGCTTTTTATTAAATTTTTATCACATTCTTACAAGTGATTTCTTTTCTGGGCATAGAGTGCGTAAAAAGTGTCGAAATTATTTGTGGATCCGACCGCTTTCCACAAATCTATTACCCATCATCAAAGATTTTTGTTTATTTTTTTAACTGAATAGGCACTTTTTTATGTATGTATAAAGATGGAAATTTATTTTAATTTTCGAACACGGTCAACACGATGTGTCCATGTTCATAATTTATATTACTGATAGTTGATGTCTTTTTTTTTTATTAATGTTTCTAGTTTTTTTTTGTTTTTTTTTAATGTGGATGAATCTATTATGGTCGTATTTTCCAGAAGTATGTTACGGACAAAAGTTGGTAGGTCTCCGTGTGTATGTAAAGGTTTTTAGCACCCCCCATGCCCCAAAAAGAAATCACTTGTTCGAATTCAAGAAAAAATTAATAAACGCCTCGTTAGTCGTCTTTAATATGTATCTATATATGTATGCATGTGAATTATTGCGTATGTGTGGCATTAAATCGTTATGCAATTAAATTCATTTATTAATGTGTAATTCGTTACCTAGATTCTTTCAGCAAGGGATAAATAAATGGGCAATACAATAGGCTTTTGTCATTGTTAAAAATGATGATTATTTCTTGGCGACAAAGTTTTCCTTCTTTTTTTTTTGTTAACATCAGAACAGGTTATTTTGCTCTTTCTCCTAAAATGAGACATTACTTTCCACACAATAAGAGAAAGAGGGGGGTTAGATGGGAGAAAATAAGGGGAGAGGGAGAAAAAAAATGACAGTTAACTTTCTGCTTAATATTTTAACGCTATTCAGACCTGACAACGCGTCTCTTCAGCTCAGATAATATTACTTTTTTTTTATCCAAATAGTCCATTTCTATTTAATTAGGTCGTGACTAGACGTCGAAATCCTGACTATTTTATACGCCTTTGCTCATGACACATGTTCCCCAAAAGAGACCAGACATTTTTGTGGCATAGAGAGCAGATTTTGTTTGAGTTATTTTACTTCCTTTTTTATTTATTTATTTATTTATTTATTTGTCAGGATTTCTCAATACTGTCATTGTTCTTACAAAATATACGCACCTAAAGCGAAATAATAAAATACAATCTTTATACTGTTTATGTAAAAAAAAAAATTAAATAAAATGTAACAAACAAGATCTTATTTTTTGAAAGAGTTTCGCTTTGGTCGTTCATAATTTTGCTAAGCAATCAATATACTAAAGATGAAGATGTAATCTGGCGTGTCTAGATGGGAAAACTTTCGGCATTTATTTAACAAAATAGTTAGCATTCCTGTCGATTCACAGAATATTTTCTTTAAAGAGATTTTCATAAAAACAGACTTCCCAAGACCAATATCGCACTTTCTAAAGTTGATGGCAGTTTACTGGCAAACCTGTTGTTTAAGGTGATGTTAACCTTGTAGTGAAAACACAACCAGTGAATAAACTTATACCAAAGCTTTATTGCACTTTACTCTGACTACTCGTTTACTGACGGATACAACAGAGTGCTTTTTATACCTCCTAGATCTTATTTTCCTTTTTAGTTACCTGGCTACCCACATGTTTTTAATCGACTTCACTCCAATCAAGAGAGAAAAGCCACTAAGACGCAAGGTGTGACTGGGTGTGGAAGAATTAAAAACAGAAACATTATTTAAGAGCGAAAACTAAAAAAGAGTAATCAGGAGGACAGTAGGTAGCAAGAAACTGTTGGCATAGAACTTACGGTTACATCTCCCCAACTCAACTCTAAATTAGTGGGACCTAATCGTCAGTCTAGTCCTGCGCTTAAATTCATAAAGTCTGGGTACCATAGTGAAGAACTCATCTAAACAATTACCATGAAAATATTTATAGAAATGAGACAAGGAAGCAATTTTACGGCGGTGGGAAAGTGACTGAAGCCGAGATGCCAGATTAGGACCAATAATATTGCTGATTCTTCTTCGGATCTTATCAAGGATCTGGAAATATATAGCAGAAGCACCGGACTATATGTGGCAGCAATATCCTAAGGATGGACGAATGGTAGGTTTATAAATTTGTAAAAGATTCTGGAGAGAATGATTTTCTTGTGCCGCACAGTAAACCAACTTTCTTAGTAGCTGACCTAGCAATGGATCCAATGTCTTTCCACTTCATGACAGCTGAGAATGTTGGCCCGAGGAGACTCAACGAGTCACTCTACTGGAGGTTAGCATACTGATGGAAGGCAGAGTGCGGTCTTTCAGATTATTAATGGAGAGAAGTTTAGTTTTTCATGCGTTCATTTATTTCTGTTGGAAGTCTTTAAGATTTGTGGTTTCTGTTATTTGGCAAAGATCTTTGTGAATCTGTAGCGCCAGTCTGTTTTGTCTAATGCAGTATTATCTTCTTTAAGAGCTAAATTTATAGACAGATAATGAACATAATGAGATAGATAGATAGATAGATAGATAGATAGATAGATAGATAGATAGATAGATAGATAGATAATGAACATAGATAGATGGATAGATAGATAATGAAGAT